TCAAATTTAGCTGATAAAAGCCTTTCCCCCCTGTGAACAAAGAAACAGAGAAAACTTTCTGTTCCTGGCAGGAGGAATTGGAGGTGTAATTCCTTTCTGTGTCCAAACATCAGGTAATGAATTTGGAATACATATCCAATAATATTTATTTCTCCAGCAGCAGCAGTATGTGGAGGGAGGAAAATGTTGAAATGACATTTTGATGATAATATAAAGGAGCTTAAGATTGCCCATGTAATCTTCATGTCAATTAACTACAGCTTCTTGTTTCAGATGAAACAGAAAAGCAGAATAAATCCATATGTTTGCCTCAGGGTGCCTCCAGTTGTGTAAAAAAAATGGCACAAAGAATTAGGTGTTTTCAAATCTTTTTGTACCTGCCTAGTCATGGGCTTGCATCCAGTTTCTGTCTTAAAACACTGTGTGTTCTCGCCCTCCCTCTGATCATGTGTCACATCCAGTTTAATTTCATAAATTAATTTTGACCAATTTCCATTGAGCCTTTTGAAATTATTATCCTGGCTTTAAACAAACTGACTAAGTTAGGGTTTTAATCCTGTGTAGTGCTGCTTTATGGGCTTTTGAGGAATATTGAATGTTTTAACATGATCAATTTTAAATCACTTTCAAAATAACTTTATAGTGTTATTAATGGCTTTGTACCATTTAAATTGTATTTCTTTCAAATATATTGTTAGCCACCAGAGTCCCATTATTGGGGGAAAAGAAGGTTGTAAAAGAACAAAATAAATAAATAAATAAATATGTTAAAGTGCTAAAGCACGTCACTAATAATACAAAAATTAAGAATTAGGATATCTTATTTATTTTATTTATTTGGTTCTTTTATATCTCGCCTTTCTCACCTCTGCAGGTGGACTCAAGGTGGCTTACAACTCTGGCAAGATTTACATTTAAATTTACATTTATTTCATGCAGCTTCCTGATTTGGATTAAATAGGAAACTGCAACTAATTGGGATACCTTAGATCAGTGGTTCTCAATCTGGGGTTCTCAGATGTTTTTGGCCTTCAACTCCCAGTAATCCTAACAGCTGGTAAACTGGCTGGGATTTCTGGGAGTTGTAGGCCAAAAACATCTGGGGACCCCAGGTTGAGAACCACTGCCTTAGATGATTTGGCATTATGAGGGGGCTGCACACATGGATAAAAATGTAATTTATATTTTAGCTTATTGAGATAAAACATGATTGTTCAGATATAGCAAGTAAGTCCAATAATGCCAATGTCAGAGATAGTATTAAAAGTCAACTGCTGTTGTTTGGGAACTGAAAACTCACAATTTCTGTGGCTGAGAAAGAAGAAAATCTATTTTTGCTAATCAATGTGATCAACATGAAGTCAGATAATGAGTACAAATAGCTTTTTACCCCAAAAAGAGTTATTCAGGATGCTGCTACATTAACATTAAATACATACTTGTAAAGCTCATTCCTCATTATAGCACGATTTGTCTGAGGGTCAATTGCGTAGATCATAAGATCCGATTTCAAATAATCTTCTTCTGAATAGCCATCTCCAAATCTGCGAGCTCCAATGGATTCGACAACAACTTTTGCACCAGGAATCTGATCTTGAACATAACGTTCCAAAATCCTGATAACAAAGTGAAATGAAAACATATTTTGAGATCGATTGGCATTTCTTTCATTAAAAGCTTAGATTTCAGGGTAATTTAAAAACACATAAGCCTTATAACATTGTAGTAAAATATCCAGATTCTTAAAACTGTTCCCTAGGAAAAGTAGGGCAATGTAGAAATAGTTCTCAAGTATTATGCACGGAATTCTTCTCCCTAATATTTACAATGGTATTTGAGTTTTAAATGACCAGGGAAATTAATGTGGCATTTTTCAAGTATGATCACTTCCTAGAAAACTAATAAATTATCACACAATATACCTGCCCTGAACAGTAGTAGAATATTTCATATGTGTGTGTGTGTGTGTGTGTGTGTGTGTGTATGTAAGTATGTATGTGTGTATGTGTGTATGTGTATGTGTATATATATATATATATATATATATATATATATATATATATATATGTATATGTATGTGTGTGTATATATATATATATATATATATATATATGTATATATCAAGTAGTAATACACCTGACAGGCCTATGGAGATAAAGTAAACCTTATGTATGCTAGTTAGGAAAAGGAAGCGCTGAGCTAATGTTTACCATAGAACAACAAAGACCTGCAGTTAAATCAGAGACATTATATACGTGCCAACAGGAAAACCACTGAAAGATTGTCTAAACAATGCAGTTGCAAGAATACACAACACAGAAGCATCACAAATGTTGGATCCAACCAGGTCCATAGCTGGGGGGGAGGCTTGAGGGGCTTCAGCCCCCAGGGCCGTAGCCAGAAAATCTTTTTGGGAGGGGTTGAAATTTGGGGGGGGGGGGTTGAAAATTTCAGGGGGGGGGTGAAACCTGCCTCCTAGCTCACGCTGAAGCAAAGAGCACAGCAGGGGGCAGAGCAGCCTTCAATAGCCTGCAGCTCCGCCCTGTCAACCACCTCCACCAAGTCTGGCCTCCTTAATGAGAGCATTCAACACCCCCAACTTAACATGGTTGCTTCACTACATCGGCTATTGCTGCAAGTAATGACAGTGTGAATAAATTGTCAATATTTGCTTGAGATAGTGCTTGCAGTTCTGGAGGGACTCTTAATTTTTTGCATCTCATAGACTTAGCATGGGGATTTGGTTAACCAATTAAAATTCATGAGTAAACCAGGTTTTTTTAAAAAATCTGAAACATTTCGGGGGGGGGGTTGAACCCCTAAAACCACCCCCTCGCTACAGGCCTGTCAACCCCCCCCCGAAATTCTTATGGTGGTCGCTAGAAGGCCTTACTGGTTCATTATTTAAACTGTGTTTATTCATATCATGATCTGATCACCATACTCAATATATCCCATATGCATGGGGGTATTGGGGTAACGATACAAAAGGTTTGCTAGGGTAGACCCCCTTTCACTCAACTCAGCCCCCCCCCGAAACAAACTCAGCCCCCCTGCCAGAATCAAAATCCTGGCTATGGGCCTGGATCCAACAAATGAAATCTACTAATGGAAAAGGCATATATAGGTAATATTTTTCTGGGTGGGCATCTGAATTCTTAGGACTCTTAAAAGGTATTCAGTGAATATTTTCCCAAGATGAGCTTCTGTTAACCTCTTTAGCAGTATCATCTTTTTTTTCTCCAGGCCACTAAATATCTTTGCCTCCATTCTGTTTCACTTTTTTTTTCATTTCACCATGCACACTACTACTACAGAGTTCTTTAATATAAATACGTAACGGTGTGTGTATGTATAAGAGCATTATACTTTTGGTAACAAATTTGCATCCCTGGCATTCTGCTGGTCTTTAGTGTTGTTTGAATGGTACTCCCTTCCCATTATGGTGGGACTACATTCTTCTGTGAGACAAGAGCTTATGTTAACAGTAGCAGTGCTACTGGTAGAGACCCTGTTGTCAGATAGGCTTTTGCTGATGAGCCAGATGAAATGTGCAAGGAGCCCTTGGGCAGCTGCAATTGTGGAGGGTGACATTGGCAGAGGATCTCTCAGAGACTATGGCACCATAACAAACACTTATCAAAACTGCACAGAAGGAAGCATGGTAAATCTCTTTTGAATGTCTTTTACCATGAAAAGCCTATAATGAGACAATCTAAAATGATACAAGAGATGGTGCCAGAAGACGGCACTCTCAGATTGGATTGTACCCAATAAGCTATTGGGATACACCAGAGGACAACTACGAGTACTACTATGGCTAATGACATAACTGGCCTCAAGCCAAAAAAGACATTCAACTGCTTGCATGTATAAAAGAAATATGGAATGTGACAAGCATGAATCAAGGAAAGCTAGACATTGGTTCTGATTTGCTTTGGTTCTAATGTGCATCAGTCCCTTTGCTGGTTCTGTTACATCTATATAAACAAAAATGTAATGCTCATTTGTGGGATTAACATAACTCAAAAACCACTGGACGAATTGCTGCCAAATTTGGCCACAAGACACCTACTAACCCAAGGAGTGACCATCACTATAAAAATTGATTTTGTCATTTGGGAGTGGTAGTTGCTGGGATTTATAGTTTACTTACAATCAAAGAGCATTCTGAACTCCACCAGTGATGGAATTGAACCAAACATGGCACACAGGACTCCCATGACCAATAGAAAACCCTAGAAGGGTTTGTTGGGCATTGACCTTGAGTTTGGGAGTTGTAGATCACCTACATTCAGAGAGCACTGTGGACTCAAACAATGATGGATTGGGACCAAACTTGGCATGAATATTCCGTATGCCCAAATATGAACACAGATGGAGTTTGGGGGAAATAGACCTTGACATTTGGGAGTTGTAGTTACTGGTATTTATAGATCACCTACAATCAAAGAGCATTCTGAACCTCACCAATGACAGACTTGGGCCAAACTTTCCACACAGAACCCCCATGACCAACAGAAAATACTCAAGACCATCCAGTCCAACTCCCTTCACCAAGGCAAGAAAACGTAATCAGAGCCCTCCTGACAAAGAGCCATCCAGTCATAAATATAGATAGATATGATTCACACACACAGAGATATAGTATCATAGATTTGAAAGGGACCCCTAAAGAAGGACAATTAAATGTTCCATGTTCCAGAGTAGGCAAACCAGACAATATCCACATCAACACTGACAAAGTAACAGCAAGAAATACTGTTTAACCACAAGCATCAAGAAATTACATATATTAGAAACCAACACTTTCTAATTACTTTATTTTCCAGATCACCAGACTGGGCCACAGCAACACGTGGCAGGGGATGACTAGTAGCTACATAAAAGCAGTCCCCTACTGGATATGCTGTGGTGCATCTTCACAGTTCTGTTTTCCTAGATGCAAGTCCACGAATGAGCTTGCAACACCCTAACAAGATTCTGGTCGAGAACTTTTGGAAGTCTCTCATTCATAGGATCAACATAAGTCAAGTTCACTTGTTGCGTAAAACAACAGCATGCATTTTTAAATACCTATATTTATAGGCATTTCACATATCCCATTTCTGCTTTATAGATGAAGACTTACAATGACGTTTCTTCCAGCCTACACTATATGTTTCATTTCAAGATCATTTATTTTGGCTGCATACTTTGCTCCTAGTGAATGTGTTTTCTTATTAAGCTGAAGAGTAAGATTTTCTTATTAAACTGAGTACAAATATTTTAGTCAATCCTCTTAAATAAGCTTTACAGGTATGAAAATTGTTATTTGATATGTTCTCAGTTTTATTAATTTTAGGAAAGGATCTAGTTCCATCCCATGTAGCACACTATTCAATACCAAAATGTTGTTGACTGGAACAAATTAAGCAGAACATTTTCTTAATAAAATATCACTGCTCATATAAGTGATTTAACTAATTTAATTGCTGACATGAAAACTAGAAACATAATGATGTGTATTTTCAGATTTGAGAAGCACATGTCATATCTTAACAGATGATTAATTTGAAAATATTTCAACTCAGAATCAAATAAATATTTCAAAGTGTGTTGTTCTCTCTTATTTTTCCCATTTTATTTTAATGCCATTAAAATGGCATTTTGGTTAGAATTACAGAGTATCTTACTAGTATAAAACTGTCCACTGCACCCGTTTGTGTTTTGACCTTACATTTGATTTGGTTAAGTGTGGAAAATAGAATTTTTTCCACTGTTGTATCCATGCTGTGGAATGCCCTTTCTTGTCAAGTCAAAGTGATACACTTTTGAAATTATTTTTTTTAAAAAAATATCTTATTTTAGTTCCCTTGGAACTGTGCTTGGGTCCTACTTTTCTTGTCATTAGGAAAATATAAAGCTACATTTTTCAAGCTGGCCTCTTAAACAATTTCACTTTTGTGATTATTTAAATTATATTTATTGTTTAAATATTGATTAACTGTTTCTAAACATTCTTAACAGCTAGTTTTCATTGGAAAGATGGGATAAAACTATAAAAAATAAAATTGTTTATTTCTTTGTTCGCCCTATACGCAAATAGTGGATACTAGCAGACTTCGGCTCATTGAGTTCTGCTTCACCACAGAGCTGGATGTGGGATCTCCATGTTAATAGCTCTGAACAGATCTGACTCATCCTACAAAAAAAACCATCATTATTTGGAAAGTTGAAAGCCCAGTGGGAGTATCAATGTTTCATTATATCAAAAGATTTTATTCCAGTACTGAAAATTGAAATTTACAGAGAGATTATTATAATAGACCCAACAAAGTCCTTACATTGTATTTTGAGATTTGCTTCAAGATCTTCACAATGCTGGAATCCCAGTGGAGGATCACAGGCTGAGCATAAAGGTGAGAATTTGTAGATAATAATTCTTCATTTAAAAATAGATATTGGAAATGTGGCAGTGCAACATGACACAGCTAACTGTAAAAGTCTGACAGCTATAAAGTCTAGTTCACTTTCAGATGTTAAAACTGTGGAACTATTAGGGATGTAAAGGGTATTCACAATTCTTCCCATCAAGAAAATAGTCAACTGACACATGATTTACTTGTTTGTTTCT